TTTTAGTTTAAGCTTTCTAAGTAATAATTATAACGTTGCAAAAAAAAGTTGTGTAATAATTAAAAGTTTTTTGAATAATATACCGCAAAAATTACCAGAAAAAAATTATTTTTATGCGAGGTGAATCGATTTTTAAAAATCAATAATTTACTCGTAATTTATCAATTTTGCCTCTATGCATAAAATCTTGGGGCATCTGTCTTTTGCCCGATGGTTAACCTTGATAAGCATGAAACAAAAACAATTGTTACTTACGCATTAATGTAATGCCAATATAATATGGTGAATTCTCGTATTATGTTAAGTATATAGTTACAACTCATTAATTTTCGCTTGAATTCTACAAATATATTAAATTTGTTCAATATTTACATCTTTACTTCAAAAGAAATATCTATTATGTTTCATGTTTCACTATTTTTTTATTTTTAAGTACCTCTCGATACACATGACAGAATACATATAAATGATTTTGATGTTGAATAAATCGAAGAAGTATATTGTTAATATTATCACAAAAATAGCTTTATTTCAGCTTAAACTTAAATTTAAATTCTGTTTATTTAAAACCGTATTGAATTTGATATCGATATTGGATAACTGATTTCCTTTTTTGTAATATCATTGTTATTATAAAATCTATCATCAATGCAAATAATTACTAACAATAAAGTTAAATACATCTACATGCAAATAGAATTTGCAGCTTGAATTTTACATGCTGTTTCGATTATTTGTAATTTATATGGATAATTTGATGGACAATTAAATGGGATAGGATAAATTTCGTGTATAGTTATGATTGTGTAAATGACTTTAAAATTAAATCGAAATTAGTTTCATCAAATGAGACTCAAATTTATTTTATATGAGAACTCACTTGCTAGACTAAACCACAGAATTAATAAGATTATAAAAATAGTTCTAGAAGTGTTTCAAATTGAGTATTAGTATTATGACTAAGAAAATTTAAATAGATTAAGCAAAGTAGTAAAATACCTAATGTTTTTTGCTTCATAACAGTAACAACAAAATACCGAAAGCAAACTAATTGCTAGAAATTAAAAATTGTAAATTTTTGTGCAAAAATATTTTAATAAAGAATTTGTAAATTTATTTACCTGCTATAAATAAAGTAAGTGCAATGTATCTAAAAATTAAGAATAAAAAAGTAAATAAGAATTTAAATAATTTTTGATTAAAATTTCTTGTCCTTACATATATTCAATTTCTTTATTATACTTAAGAACACCGCTAGTTTGATCAAAAAGGATGACTTTTGCCAACTCTATAATAAAGAATTTAAGTACTGAATTGTCAACGAAAAGACATCCCATTTATTAGATTATTAATTGTTACCAAGCGATGGACAAAGAAACATGAGAATAAAAATTGGAATATATAGTAATGCCAAACAAATAGTTCTTTTTACCCTTTCAGACATTTTTTAAATTTGACTTTATTTAATTGTCACCATATATACTATTTTAATTTTATTATACAATTAAAGTTTATTTTCATTGACTTAAAACAATGCGGTTTGCTGAATTCTGGATTCATTGTAAATAAATTCATTATTGATCAGTTATATCTTGTAATAAAATGCCAATTTTGTTAGAAAAATAGTTTCATTCACTTTGCATTTTGTGCACTTCATTAATTCATATTTGCATCTTGTGAAATATGGGTTATGTCAATAGAAAACAAGCAAATATTTTTTATTAAGTTTTTTTAAAACTTTAAACAACAATAACTTGACAAAAATTTTTTTAAATTAATTCTACAAGTTCATTAAATTTATTATTTTTAAAAAAACTTTTATTAAATTGGTAAAGTTTCATTATTCTTGTTTAAAGTTACTTATCATTTGTTAAATTACAATTGTATATTTTTGTTATATTATATTCTTTGATTTGATTGAATTAAAATTTCGAAGCTGAATTTATTTTTTTTGTACAATAAATTCGGATTTTAACAGTCTATTAAAAAAAAAAAGTTAATTAATTTATTGGATAACTGATTTCCTCTTTGCGTATATTTTCTTTGTTGTCGAGAATGCAAATTTTATATTGAATAATTTTAATTCTAAATAACTAAAAGATTGCCTCAATTAAATGCAATAAAAATTTAATTGAAGATTGAATTGATTTTCATTATAATGAAAAAAATTTAAATATATAAAAACCACTAGCCAGTTACTATTAAAATTTGATTAAATATTTAAACGTCCGTGATATAACCTTCTTTCCCAATAGCTTAGCTTTTCCTTGAAACATTGCAATCGGCGGCGCAGATCATGCTCAATAATAAAAAAAGGTCCACCTTAAATAATTATTGCATTCACGTGTAAAAAATATATGAATGATGAAAATATCAAATAACCTTTTACAATCAAGTATTCAATTTTTACCATTTCATATCCTTCTTCAATCTTAGATTTTATAATTCCAACTCTGAAGACATGTTCAAGGTCTAACTTCACATTTAAAATAAAATTTTTGTAATTGCATAAAAAAAACCGAGTGATTGCTGTACTGTAGGGTGTCCAGAATTCTGCGGTGCATAATTCTGCTTATCTAATAATATTTTTTTGTATTGTCTCCATAAGATAAACGTGACTTTAATCATTTTTTAAAAACTTAAATACAATACAAAAAGATATTTTTAGAGCGAGCAGAATTATGCACAGTACTGAATTAGGTCAAGTGTAATGTCAGAAAATTTTCAGAGGGATCTGGTAAAAAAAGACAGTTATCGCTTCTAAGCTAACACTTGTATCTTACAATATAACTGATATTCTTCATTACGTCAAAAATTTTTGTTGTTTCATATTTTTAAACTATCTATATTTTTTTCTTCTTACGACAAAAACCTTTGAAGTATCTTGTTTTGAAAATAGTGTTTTGAAATTATCGACGAAATCAAACTCGAAATTTGATCGATTTACAAATGGGTTAATCAGAAGCTGTCACATCTAACTCAGGAAGACCTTTAACTTCGATTTCTGTCTAGCTTGCCAAATACGGGCTATTCGGAACATGTACTATATATATATCAATTTTCCCTTGATTTATTAGCGTTAGAGCGAAAAGACTAACTTTATTTACTTTGCTTTTTTATACATTCAATTGAATCATTTACTCCCTTACACTCACTTATACTTATTTTATGCTTTCTTATTAATCATCCAACTCCCGCAATCACGACTCATTCTCCTACATTTCCTTTACAATCATCCCCGACGCAAGTATGTACATCACGTGGAACGTTCGCTCCATATTTTCGTTCGTTAACACTACCCTTCTCACTAACAACCCAACTACTTATTTCTTGTTCATGTAGTAAACTTTCTTCGCTCAACCATTTCGAAACTCAATACAAGGGCTGTTCCAGAACTATGCGACACTAATGCTAAGGTTAGAATTGTATTCACATGATCTTGCGGACCCATGGGTCCATGAGATCATGTGATATTGGTTGGATAAACTTTGGATGATGGTGAGATGACCTTAATGTTAACATTTTGATTGCCGTCAATAGAAATCAGGCAGATTGACAATTTAAAAAAAGTTAATACCTCAACTCTCGTAGTTCATATCTAAATGAATTTCAAAAATATTTTAAACTATTAAATTATTAAGAGATATGAGCTGTGAAGGTTACCAATCAAATTTCGAGTTTGATTTCGTCGATAATTTCAAAACACTATTTTCAAACAAGGTTTTTGTCGTAAGAAGAAAAAAATATAGATAGTTTAAAAATATGAAACAACAAAAATTTTTTGACATATAATTTTATATGTGCTGCAGCTTGCAGATCCCTTAATTAAATCATTACCGTTACCTGAAAATTTTCTTTTCCTAAATGAGACACAATAACAACCAGACACACATTTGAACTTATGAAGATCTCACCAAATTTCTATTGATACGTATCAATAGGCGATATCGATATGAATACGCGATATCGGTCGGAGGATATGTCACACAAACTGTATGTTATATAATTTTCGGCCCTCCGGTAAGAATTTTATTTGAAAAATAGGGTTTTTTTTTTAATGAGATTACATAAAAAAAAAATATATAGCATCATTAGTATAATTCGACCTGAAAATTGATTCCTAGGGGTTTTACGTTAAACAATTATGGTCTAAAAGATAATACAATTCATTTCTACTGGTTTAACGATGCCCCCTATTACTGTAGCACTCATAACTTTTGCTTATTTGGGTTGGTACACAGCAAAACCATGCTTAGAGAGATTTTAACCGAAATTGAGATTTTTATTGGAAAATGGCAACTATTAAGCAGCCGTGGATCAAATTATTAAATGATGAATAAAAACAAGAATGCAAAAGCAATAGTTCACATAAATTTTAATTATTTTGATTCGTTATTAATGCTGTTCACTCATTCTTATCTACTAATTAAAGCTACCGTGATATTTTTTTTTTATGTAATCTCATTAAAAAAAAAACCCTATTTTTCAAATAAAATTCTTACCGGAGGGCCGAAAATTATATAACATACAGTTTGTGTGACATATCCTCCGACCGATATCGCGTATTCATATCGATATCGCCTATTGATACGTATCAATAGAAATTTGGTGAGATCTTCATAAGTTCAAATGTGTGTCTGGTTGTTATTGTGTCTCATTTAGGAAAAGAAAATTTTCAGGTAACGGTAATGATTTAATTAAGGGATCTGCAAGCTGCAGCACATATAAAATTATATGTCAAAAAATTTTTGTTGTTTCATATTTTTAAACTATCTATATTTTTTTCTTCTTACGACAAAAACCTTGTTTGAAAATAGTGTTTTGAAATTATCGACGAAATCAAACTCGAAATTTGATTGGTAACCTTCACAGCTCATATCTCTTAATAATTTAATAGTTTAAAATATTTTTGAAATTCATTTAGATATGAACTACGAGAGTTGAGGTATTAACTTTTTTTAAATTGTCAATCTGCCTGATTTCTATTGACGGCAATCAAAATGTTAACATTAAGGTCATCTCACCATCATCCAAAGTTTATCCAACCAATATCACATGATCTCATGGACCCATGGGTCCGCAAGATCATGTGAATACAATTCTAACCTTAGCATTAGTGTCGCATAGTTCTGGAACAGCCCTTGTATTGAGTTTCGAAATGGTTGAGCGAAGAAAGTTTACTACATGAACAAGAAATAAGTAGTTGGGTTGTTAGTGAGAAGGGTAGTGTTAACGAACGAAAATATGGAGCGAACGTTCCACGTGATGTACATACTTGCGTCGGGGATGATTGTAAAGGAAATGTAGGAGAATGAGTCGTGATTGCGGGAGTTGGATGATTAATAAGAAAGCATAAAATAAGTATAAGTGAGTGTAAGGGAGTAAATGATTCAATTGAATGTATAAAAAAGCAAAGTAAATAAAGTTAGTCTTTTCGCTCTAACGCTAATAAATCAAGGGAAAATTGATATATATATAGTACATGTTCCGAATAGCCCGTATTTGGCAAGCTAGACAGAAATCGAAGTTAAAGGTCTTCCTGAGTTAGATGTGACAGCTTCTGATTAACCCATTTGTAAATCGATCAAATTTCGAGTTTGATTTCGTCGATAATTTCAAAACACTATTTTCAAAACAAGATACTTCAAAGGTTTTTGTCGTAAGAAGAAAAAAATATAGATAGTTTAAAAATATGAAACAACAAAAATTTTTGACGTAATGAAGAATATCAGTTATATTGTAAGATACAAGTGTTAGCTTAGAAGCGATAACTGTCTTTTTTTACCAGATCCCTCTGAAAATTTTCTGACATTACACTTGACCTAATTCAGTACTGTGCATAATTCTGCTCGCTCTAAAAATATCTTTTTGTATTGTATTTAAGTTTTTAAAAAATGATTAAAGTCACGTTTATCTTATGGAGACAATACAAAAAAATATTATTAGATAAGCAGAATTATGCACCGCAGAATTCTGGACACCCTACAGTACAGCAATCACTCGGTTTTTTTTATGCAATTACAAAAATTTTATTTTAAATGTGAAGTTAGACCTTGAACATGTCTTCAGAGTTGGAATTATAAAATCTAAGATTGAAGAAGGATATGAAATGGTAAAAATTGAATACTTGATTGTAAAAGGTTATTTGATATTTTCATCATTCATATATTTTTTACACGTGAATGCAATAATTATTTAAGGTGGACCTTTTTTTATTATTGAGCATGATCTGCGCCGCCGATTGCAATGTTTCAAGGAAAAGCTAAGCTATTGGGAAAGAAGGTTATATCACGGACGTTTAAATATTTAATCAAATTTTAATAGTAACTGGCTAGTGGTTTTTATATATTTAAATTTTTTTCATTATAATGAAAATCAATTCAATCTTCAATTAAATTTTTATTGCATTTAATTGAGGCAATCTTTTAGTTATTTAGAATTAAAATTATTCAATATAAAATTTGCATTCTCGACAACAAAGAAAATATACGCAAAGAGGAAATCAGTTATCCAATAAATTAATTAACTTTTTTTTTTTAATAGACTGTTAAAATCCGAATTTATTGTACAAAAAAAATAAATTCAGCTTCGAAATTTTAATTCAATCAAATCAAAGAATATAATATAACAAAAATATACAATTGTAATTTAACAAATGATAAGTAACTTTAAACAAGAATAATGAAACTTTACCAATTTAATAAAAGTTTTTTTAAAAATAATAAATTTAATGAACTTGTAGAATTAATTTAAAAAAATTTTTGTCAAGTTATTGTTGTTTAAAGTTTTAAAAAAACTTAATAAAAAATATTTGCTTGTTTTCTATTGACATAACCCATATTTCACAAGATGCAAATATGAATTAATGAAGTGCACAAAATGCAAAGTGAATGAAACTATTTTTCTAACAAAATTGGCATTTTATTACAAGATATAACTGATCAATAATGAATTTATTTACAATGAATCCAGAATTCAGCAAACCGCATTGTTTTAAGTCAATGAAAATAAACTTTAATTGTATAATAAAATTAAAATAGTATATATGGTGACAATTAAATAAAGTCAAATTTAAAAAATGTCTGAAAGGGTAAAAAGAACTATTTGTTTGGCATTACTATATATTCCAATTTTTATTCTCATGTTTCTTTGTCCATCGCTTGGTAACAATTAATAATCTAATAAATGGGATGTCTTTTCGTTGACAATTCAGTACTTAAATTCTTTATTATAGAGTTGGCAAAAGTCATCCTTTTTGATCAAACTAGCGGTGTTCTTAAGTATAATAAAGAAATTGAATATATGTAAGGACAAGAAATTTTAATCAAAAATTATTTAAATTCTTATTTACTTTTTTATTCTTAATTTTTAGATACATTGCACTTACTTTATTTATAGCAGGTAAATAAATTTACAAATTCTTTATTAAAATATTTTTGCACAAAAATTTACAATTTTTAATTTCTAGCAATTAGTTTGCTTTCGGTATTTTGTTGTTACTGTTATGAAGCAAAAAACATTAGGTATTTTACTACTTTGCTTAATCTATTTAAATTTTCTTAGTCATAATACTAATACTCAATTTGAAACACTTCTAGAACTATTTTTATAATCTTATTAATTCTGTGGTTTAGTCTAGCAAGTGAGTTCTCATATAAAATAAATTTGAGTCTCATTTGATGAAACTAATTTCGATTTAATTTTAAAGTCATTTACACAATCATAACTATACACGAAATTTATCCTATCCCATTTAATTGTCCATCAAATTATCCATATAAATTACAAATAATCGAAACAGCATGTAAAATTCAAGCTGCAAATTCTATTTGCATGTAGATGTATTTAACTTTATTGTTAGTAATTATTTGCATTGATGATAGATTTTATAATAACAATGATATTACAAAAAAGGAAATCAGTTATCCAATATCGATATCAAATTCAATACGGTTTTAAATAAACAGAATTTAAATTTAAGTTTAAGCTGAAATAAAGCTATTTTTGTGATAATATTAACAATATACTTCTTCGATTTATTCAACATCAAAATCATTTATATGTATTCTGTCATGTGTATCGAGAGGTACTTAAAAATAAAAAAATAGTGAAACATGAAACATAATAGATATTTCTTTTGAAGTAAAGATGTAAATATTGAACAAATTTAATATATTTGTAGAATTCAAGCGAAAATTAATGAGTTGTAACTATATACTTAACATAATACGAGAATTCACCATATTATATTGGCATTACATTAATGCGTAAGTAACAATTGTTTTTGTTTCATGCTTATCAAGGTTAACCATCGGGCAAAAGACAGATGCCCCAAGATTTTATGCATAGAGGCAAAATTGATAAATTACGAGTAAATTATTGATTTTTAAAAATCGATTCACCTCGCATAAAAATAATTTTTTTCTGGTAATTTTTGCGGTATATTATTCAAAAAACTTTTAATTATTACACAACTTTTTTTTGCAACGTTATAATTATTACTTAGAAAGCTTAAACTAAAAAATGAGTTTTATTATAAATTAACTTATGTAAACAAAAATTTAAAACTGTAACTTTTTTTACAATGTTAAATCGTTATATTAAGATTGAATTATTTCATGGTAGATATAGTATTTTTTTGGGTTTGTTTATATTTCTCAACATGATTTTGAAACAGATACTCAAAAGATGTAATATTTTTGCAACTTTCATACATTTTTTCTACAACAGTTTCTGTTTTCAATACATCAAGATTTTTAGTTATCACATATTGATAAGAAAAATATTCTATTATCTGTAATAATCTATTTGATTTCAAATGATAATATTTAAGTTCTAAATTAGTTTCTTCTTTATATTCTTCTATTTTATCATATTCATTGTCATCTAATGATTTACATACGATTACATGATCACTGCAATATTTTTTAATTTTAATATTATGTGAAGTATTGTAATTAGACGTATAACTTTCAAGTATGTAACTCTTCATAATCCTCTTTGTTGGAAATTTTTTTATACCAGATAATAAGAAAAAAGTTGTATCTTTTGAAAGAAACTTTAACAGTAGAATAATTTGAATATCTTTCTAAAGATTCCACATAAAAATTATTTTCATATAATAAGTCAATCACCAAACGAATTTTTTTCATGTTTCTTGATTTTCATAATATATGCAGAATTTTTGATGAAATTTGAAGGAAAAAAAAAACTTAAAGAACTTTTTATACAAAAAATTAGATATTAAAAAAAATTCTTTTTTTTAACATTTTGTTTGATCTTCGTAACCACTTAGTTTCAATTTTTAGATTTTTATATTTTATCTCCATACTTCTTAAATTACTTCAATTTGTAAATTTTCTTGAATCTTTTCGTTTATCAATAAATTTATAAAATTGAAATTGAGTTCCGTTTATTAAAATTAATATTTGTGTTTATTGATAACTTAAATTTCAATTAAAATCAATTAATAAAGAATTTGTAAAACAATTTGCAGCTTTTAACTTTTCTGGATCTTCCGTATAATTATTACGCTTTGCAAAAAGATGTGACCTCTGCAGTTGTGTGAAAATTGAAGATTCTGTAGTTTTTAAGAATCTTACCAATTTCAAATAAATATAAATATAACTGATCGAAAATATGAATTAATAGACAATTTAGAATCTTAGAAATTTTTTATGTTCATCATCACAAAAATCATGAGGTCACATCTTTTTGCAAAGTACTATAATTTAGTTATGAAATTATGACCCGCACGATTTTTTTATATAATAAAAAAATTAATTTTATTTAAAAAAAATTGTGAAGGTAATATTGCTTTAATATTTGTACAAATATTCATAATATTAATTTTTAATAATAGCAAAATTCTGGGTAAAATTTGATATTATTTCAACTAGTAATACTAACGTACATTGACAGAATTATATTCATCATTTGGATTATCAATAATTGATCATCTAATCACAGGAGAAACAACATATTCACCATCAGAACCTTCAAGAATTTCTTGATTAGCACCAATAAATCTAGCCATAAATTTTAATTTTAACTTATCTAAAAGAAATGGAACACCAACAATTCCATCTGGAATATTTTTAATTTTTATTACACTATCAGTTGTTAAAAGATCTCCTGCTCGATTATAAGGAAAGAAGTTCATTAACCATCTAGAGACAAAAGTACCACTACCAGAACCATGTACTTCATCAATCGTTATAATTCTACCCCAAAAATCATGATCAATTTTATCACGATAAGTAGCAACTAAATTTAAAAGGACAGGTTCAAGATGATCTAACCAAAAATCTAATTCTAAATTTAATGCTCTTAAATTAATGACCTTTTCTTGAAATTTTTTCCAATCTTCAAGGGTTCTTTCGAGTGTAACTTTTGGAATTCCACAAAAAGTATCAACTTTATAATCAAAATAAGCTTTAACAGCATCTAATAATACAATACGACTAACTGTTAAGAAGGTTGGGGTAGTTGTCGAAAAATTGCATTTTAATAAACCCACTAAATCGATTTTTTTGACATGACTATCAATCTTTGTAACAAGTCTATTTACAACTTCAGGCCAATTACCTTCATAATTATTAGATAGAATATTACTAGCATAAACAGTAATATTTTTCTTTCCTTCATGTCGAACGAATCTATCACGAAATTTCTCAGGATTATAATTAATATAATGACTAACACCTTGAGAAATTGTAAGCCAAACATCATCAGAACTTAAACGTAAATATTTATGATAGTTATAAGTATAAAGAATAGCAGCAACAAATTTATTTAGGCAATAAGGTCTTTTAATGCTGTTTTTTTAGAGTCGGATACAGCATATACTTTAATATTTTTAAAACTACAAGCAATTTGATCCTCAATCGAAATATGAGGATTTAATTCATTGTCAAGCTTAATTTTATCGGTTAGAATTTGAGTACTTTTTGTTGGATTCATCTTTGTAAATGATCTGAATGAATTTTGATTGAACTAATTTTTTTATTTGAATTTGGTGATTCTTATATATAATATCGTGGTATTGTATAATTTCATAGTAATAATTTACAAGGATAAATTGGATGTGGAAATTAGAGTGTCCAGAATTCTGCGGTATTCTGCTCGCTCTAAAAATATCTTTTTGTATTGTATTTAGTTTTTAAAAAATGATTAAAATTACGTTTATCTTATGGAGACAATACAAAAAAATATTTTTAGAGTGAGCAGAATTATGCACTGCAGAATTCTGGACACCCTAGTGGAAATACCTTTATTAGAATTTAATAGCATTGACAAATAAAGTTGTATGTCTAACAATACAACAATATGTATATATGTAAAATTGCGTTAGATATAGTAATTTGTATTAATCTATTTATCAATTTTTTATTACACTAAAGCAAAATCAAATTGCATACTCCAGAAAAAAAATCAAATTATAAATTCAAGTAAAATTTTGTATACTCCAGAAAAAAATCAAAATTTAATTTCAAGCAAAATTAAGCTTATAATTTCGGCAAAATTCCAGGCAAATTCATTATAATTTCAAGCAAAATTACCGTATAGTTCCGAAATTGAGTATCTTTTTTTTGTTATAAATGGTGCTTATATTCAGAGAGAATAAATGAAAGACAATTATTTTTCAGGCCTACCGAATAATTTATTGTGTAGGCAATTAATTGAACTCAATTAATTGATTGATAGCACAGTTACAATGAGTCAATTAATTGCTACATTCATTGCCGGATTGTACGTAACAATTCATGTAATTTTTGCTATTTAAATATTGAAAATTGAATTTAATTGCAATTATTTCATCACTAATTGGGTTTCAATTAATTTCATGGTAATTTTAATTGATTTTAATTGTATGACGTATAACAAAAATTAATTGCAATTAATTTTTTGGTAGGCCTGTTATTTTTCGTATTGTACTAAATGCGATGATTTAGAATTACCTATTGGAAGTCTCATTATTTTGTATATATTTTTGATTAAATAAATTGGGATCTTTGCTATGAAAATGACCCTCTGATGCTATATTGACTTTGTTAATAACAATTAAATTTACCAACTTTCTAGCTATCCAATTTGAATGAAATTTTTTTATTTTGTAGATACTATTGAGATTTACAAAATAAAAAAAGTTTATTCAAATTGGATAACTAGATGGCTAGCAATTTTAATTTTTATTCACAAAATCAATATAGCATCAGAGGGTCATTTTCATAGCAAAGATCCCAATTATCAAATAATGTCTTTGCTCTTGTTTTACGTTTATTACCTGCAAATTTTATTTTGTTGTCGATTTTTTTGAATACATTTTGTTTGTTTATTTTATAGTAATTAAACAATATTGCCAAAAATTACTATTTGATTGATTAAATTTTTATTGAATTTATTACCATTAAATATTCTATAACTTTAATTTATTGTAAACTGATAGTTAACTAAAGTTCTTTAATATTGTTAAATATTTTAATTATGAATAGGAAATTGGTATCTAATTTAATAACAAGTTTTACTTTCTTAAAACTATGCAAAAAAAACCTTATTTCTGAATTTCAAATGTATTCAAAAATGCTATACATATCGCATTATTAATAAAAATCTTATATGTTTAATTTTAAAACTTTATCAATTTAAAGATGTTTTTTAATCTTATATTTCGTGTTGGCGGCCAGACTAGCGTCAACAGAATCTTTCAAGATGAATTCTTTGAGTTTTCAAAAGATAAAAAAAAGCAATTGATTAATAATCAAGAATTCATTGTGTATATTACCAATACGATTTATTTTGTTCTTACCGGTTTCTGTTCAAAAGGTAGAAAATGTGAAGATGGAACTATCGATAATAAGTATCCAATGGTAGAATTAGATAATGGTGACTATTTTTATAGAACCGATAAAAATGTTGAATTTTCAGATAGTGTGTTGATTATTCAGAGAGATTCAACAAATGATTATGGTACTCAATATACCATTGATAGAGCTGAAGAGTTAAAAAAGAAATTGAAAATTGTGAATGTGTTTGCAAATAATTTAGACGAGGTTGTAAAATAGATTGTTAATAATAATATACATTCATTAAATATCTCTGGAGTGAGAAAAGTAATTTATTGGAAGCAGATCACCAAGTGAAAATAGCTTGCAAAAAGTTTTTGAATAATATTTATGATGAAATTCTTCAAAATAATGAATTTCTGGTTTATGATTCAATCAGGAGGTTTTATACTCTTGGTCCAGAAGGTTCTTTTTCGTATTTTACTGCACAAGAAATTTTTCAAAAAATGCGTGAGAAATGTGCTAATGTTGAAATGGTTCTTTTAAAGGAAAAGAGCAAATTAATTAAAATTCTACCAATAATAAGATCTGACAAGTGTCTGTTAGTTCCTACTAAAGTGAACGGAGTTAATATGTTCGAATACAATCATTTATTTGAAAGGTTTAAAGTTAAATTAGAAATTGAGAAACCTGTGAGGTATGCATTACTCTTGGTGCAAACTGATATTTCAGGAATAGAAGAATTG